AAACATCTTTACATATATAGATCAGTGAGAGAGAGAGAGAGAGAGAGAGAGAGAGAGAGAGAGAGAGAGAGAGAGAGAGAGATGGATGGTCACGATTGCAGGCGTTCACTTGTCGTGGCGTCGTGGCTGGGCGGCATAGACAAGTGAACGTATTCGAGCGCGGCCCGGCATCTTCACCACACATCCTTCGAATTTTCGCACAGCTCGGCACAGTCGCACAGCTCAGCACAGTCGCACAGCTCGCACTCATCGACGGGCAATCAATCCTATACTACGCAATAGCGTACTGTGTATGTTATAGGATATCTGTGTACCCATCGATGCATCATAGTACTCATTCATGGGCGGTAGGTGGCGTTGTCAGACACATCGTAACTCTATGATGATAATTAATGATAATGATGTGATAATTCTATTGTAATCGTGAGCATATCTATAAATTACAATATACAATTCTGTATATATATATATATATATATATATATATTTATTTATTTATTTATTTGTTTATGTAGTAAACGTACGTGGTAGACGTAACTACGTAGAAAAAATTACGACTACGATGACATATCACGAGTGATATGATACAATAATACATGAATTATGATAATTACGATAATTACAGAATGAATAATTAAAACATTAGGAGTAAGTAGTAGATGATTCTGGCAACGCCCACCTCCCCCCCCCCCCTCCTCCACACGCACACGCACACACTCGATCATTCCTCATTCTAAAGCCTAGCGCAGACTTGCGACTTTTGGTTGCTCGTCGCTGCAACCTGCAACCGCATGCGATCGGCCGCACGCTTCACCGTGTGTGCACATGCAAGCGATTTCGGAGCGATTGCGAGCGACGAGTTGCTGAAAATCAAACCTGTTTGATTTTTTGCAACTCGTTGCAAGCGACCGGAATCGCTACGAGTTTGCAGTATCCCACGTTCCCGCAGACGTAGCGATTTCACAGCAATTTCGACTGCGATTCTAGAAAGATATAGAAAAGTTGAGCCGAGTTGCATGAAAAAGTCGCAAGTCTGCGCTAGGCTTATGCTAGCATTACTATCACTGGGTGGGTGGGAAGGGATTCACGTATTCAGGGCAGCATCCCTGATTCACGAATCTCCCACGAGAGACGACGGAGAGGCAAGATGGCGGCCCCAGGTGACGCATGCATGGACGGACGGACGGACGGACGGACGTGCCGTCACTACACTACAGCGTGTTAGTTATCGTATAAGATAATAGCTGGTAACTATAGTAACCGTAGTAATTAATAGAGGAGGTTACTCCATATATGAAGCAGCAGGAGGAACAGGAGAACGAGGATCAGCAGAGCGGACGGACGCTCTAGCGAGAGAGCAGTACGTAGAAAAATCCCGCCAGCACTATCACACACACACGCGCACACACTCACTCACGTAGAATTCCGCCTCTTCTTTAATTTTGTTTTCATTTTCTTCTGCGGTTGTCACGCGGCCTCACTAACAATGATTTGCTTACAGCCCCGGCTCGGGTCACCGTACACGGGTGGAAGGGCAGGTAGGTTCTCACTTAGGGAATGATAGGTAGGTAAATCCGTGCGTGCATGCGTTGATGTGTGTGTGTGTGCGTGCGTGCGTGCGTGCGTTGATGTGTGTGTGTGTGC